AATTGTATCATGTATCATGTATCAAAAAACAATGATATGTTTTTTTTTTCGTTCTTTGATGCCTGATAACTGATTCCTTCGGCAATTTGTGATCACACAGGCTGGAGTGCTTCTTCCATGTGAGCTTTGTTGCTTCTGAGCTAGATGGCCGTTTGCTTACCTTCAAGCTTTTAAGACCCCAGATGCTATATCTTTTGATAGCCGGGGACCACAAGATGACACATTTCAACAAAGTTCAAGAGAAAACTTCCTGGTCCTGCCCACTTGGAGTCCAGTCCACCCTCACCACCACCAGAGGGGTCTGTCTATAACCCATGCTACTGATCATGCTATTTCCCAACAAGAGCCCTCCGACACCTTCCCCTTCCACCCTACCCCAAGCTCTGTGCCAGGCATGCCAAACCCTGCTGATTCTGGGGGCCCTACTCCCTCTGCACCTCTGCATCTTCCTCGCCATTTCTTTCCACCAGCTCCACACTCATCTTCCACGCAGACCTCCTGGAGCCACCAGCAGTTGCCCAGCAGCCCGGGCTGTCCATTCCTCATTAGCCTCTCCCTCCTGGGCAAGAACCAGTACATGGTCCACACCTCCACTGCAACACTGTGTGGTTGTGGTTGTTAGACTTTCCTCGAGTCAGGTTCTACTCCTCGGGCCCATTGCGAAACAGCGAAACGCTGCTGTGTCCTGCCCGTCCTCACAATTTTTCCTCCTCCAGAGCCCATGGTTATAGCCACGGTGTCCATCCGTCTCCCAGAGAGCCTTCCTCTTTTTTCGTGGCTCCACCTACTGAACCAAGCGTGATGGCCTTCTCTAGGGATTGGTCATTCCTGACAACAGTTCCAAAGCCCGTAAGACGAAGTCTCCCCAGGCATGGCTTTCAGGAGCGCTCTGGCCATACTTCTTCCAAGACAGGTTTTAGCTGTGGGGCTTTCGGTATTCTCGGCCAGCACCACAGTTCAAATGCACCCAGTCTCCTTCAGTCTTCCTTATTCCGAGTGCAACTTTCAGAGCACTGGTAGAACAAATTCATCCCTGTCTCTGTCCTCCACCCTTGTGGGACTACTATCAAGGCCATGGTCACCTTCCTCCAGTTCCCGTCCCAGACCGAGTTCCCAGAGGATGCCAGTAAATAGTAGCACAGTGGGATTTACCTGACCTCCTCATCGGCATAAAGTAAATGTTTAAGTAATAGAGCACCTCACTGGCCCCTGGGATCTGCCATTCAGATAATGGAACCAATCTTGCTTTCCCCTCACCACATTTTCACTCTCTCCAGTTGTGCTAGCAGGAGCCCTGGTGACATAATGGACTAGGCATCGACTGCTAACCTCAAGATCAGCAGTTCAAAACCACCAGCTGCTCCAAGGGAGAGAGATGAGGCTTTCTACTCCCATGAAAAGTCAGTCTTAGAAACCCACGGAGGCTGGGAGTCAGAATCCACTCAGTGAGTTTGCGTTGGGTCTGGTTGTACTTTCAGATTGAGTTTCCCACCCATTCAGAAGAAAGGGCTGTGGGCGACAGTGTCTGTGTTAGATGGTCTTCTACTGACCAGGGATATGAGGGTGTGAGAAACACCTGGGGCCTTCTCCAGGGACTTTTAATTCTTTCTATTAACGAGTTACCTACCCTCTCTGAACCTTAGTTCAGAAGGGGCTAGAGATATATAGCATTATCTAAAAGTATTCTGACTCAGACAAGGAGCCCTGGTGGCGCATTGAGCTGCGATCGGCATGGTCGGTAGTTCAAATATCTTGGAAACCCGCCGGGGGTCGCTATGAGTTGACATTGACTCGGTGGAAAAGTATTGCGGTGAGACGCTAATTATAGAAGCTGACATAAATGTTACTAGTTGCTAGTTACTAGTATGCCTTTGAAACACTAATAAAGTAGCCACGATACCAACATAGTTGCCTCGACTTTATTTCAAAAGACTAAAAGAAACGGAACATCGGTTTTCGGAGTATGCGCCTTTAAATAGAAAACCAGCCCTGGCTCCACAAGCACGCTTAAGACGACCATCCGAGAAGCTCCGCCTCCCTCGGGTCTAAGCCACGCCCCCGTCCGCGCCGACGCCGGCGACGTAGGGCCCTTCAGCGCTGATTGACACGTAAATCCACCAGTAAAAAGTGAGGTTTCCGTCCATGTCCGGTAAGGGGGCAGGACTTCCTTGCTGGTTGCTAAGACACTCTTGTTTCGCTCCTTGACAACCCTGGCGGGGG